TTCCGTCGCTTGCTGGTGGGAGCGGGTACTGCGCGCCTCTCCCCGGCAGGCGCGACGGTGTCCGGCATGTCCTCCCTCAGGACGGAGAGCGCCACCTCCGATCATGGCATTGTCACTATCCTGTGCCGGGGCGTGGTGCGGAGAGGCAGCGTGAGACTCGCGCCCGACGAGGCAGCTAACCGGGATGTGGCGTTACTGGCGGTCGGCCGGCATTCATCGGCCTGAGCAGCAGCAGCGGGGAATACCGGAGGCCTGACGACCGACGAAGTACGCTCACTAAGCGGGTGGCCGGCCGACGAAGGAGCAGCTGAAGCACGTTATCGTCAACGGCAACGGCGACTGAGAGGTGAACATCTGCACGGAACCTTCAACTTTGTTTGCTGGGCGCCGGCAGAATGAGATTAGGATGGCGCAGATGCGACTGATGGCACGTATTGGTCCCCATAACGTTTAGTGTGCACCATCGCTTTATCCAAAATTACAGTGTCTCAATGATGTTTTGCCAAGATATTGCGTACGTCAATGAGACTACGTTTAGAGGCTGTGAGGCTGCGCGAAGTCCACGTGGAGGAAAAGCGACATGCCTTCTCCAGTTCGAGAAAGTGTTGACTCTATCTTCCGGCCTCTCAATCGTATACGTGATTAGACAATTCGCAAACCGTCTGTGAAAGTGCACTGCCTATTGATTCCCATTGGTCCGCGCGTGACCGGACCGAATGGAGGGTATCAGATGAATAACACACCCCACTCTTGCGCATACCCATTTCATGACCGCGTAAAATTAAATTAATTGAATTAACGTCTACGACCTCTGGTTCCTTTGTCTCAAAACTGTCTTCCAGATTCCAGTCTGTAGTTGCGAATACAGTTATTTACGCAAGTTGTCAGCATTGTCCAATGATGTGAGGACCACACGTATTTGGATTCACTCTTTGCTGTAAAGGGAAAGCCAAGCTACTAAATTTAGGCAATTGTTTGGCCGTTCCTGACCCACATCACGGACAAAACGGCGCGTGTTTCTTATTTTGCAACAGCGTGGCAAATGTGGCAAAGCCCTACCAACTCTGCTGCGTGTTTTATTAGCCATTGATTGAGCAAGCAGATATCATGTAAAACGTCAGCAGATATTCTATAAAAAGCTGGCATGCAAGCAGGAGACCAACAACAGACTAGGCAACAAGCAATACACGCTAGTCATATACTTGTCACTTGAACAAACATTTTTCTGGAGCATCATGCACGCTCTCACAAGTCAATCAAAATACTTGTGTCATCGGGAACCCGCTTTTGAAGCAAAGGTCCTTTCTGTGGCAGCGACTATATTACAGAAAAGAACGCAGAGCCCCCGCAAGAACAATGACCAGCGTTATGTGTGTCACGGCACTTCAGTATTAATGTCGAAATGACAGACCTGAGCTACATACCTTTCTTACGCCCTGACTGGCGTATCTACTACGCACCATTATCCAACGCCTATCGCTCTTCGTATCGCCCTTCTGTAATGAGGCGCCAAGTGTTTCACCACATCTTCTCTGTATTTTAGTATCGCACCGTCAGGGGCTGCAGCACCTGCATTCGCTGCTCTCCGAACGGCGACTCTCCGACAGCGGGGGCCGCGAGCCGGGGCCGTGCGAACTGCGGCGGCGGCGCGCGTCTGCCGCGCGGCCGGAGCCGGCCTGCGAACCTGACCACGTGCCGCGCCCCGCCCCAGCAGGGGCGCAGGGCGCATACAACTGCACTACGAACACCTTTCCAAGCGGTCACCAATGTCCCCACTAGAATCAGAAGCCTTGAACTAGAATAAACTAGAATAACCCTGTGAATTCTCTAGCAAGGCTAACCGGACATTTCCCACCACGCGCACAGCGACGAGTCTACCTCGCGACGTCACCGCTCTCAGCCCCATCTGTCGGGGCTACCCTCGACCACCGACGTCGGCCCACACGGGCCCGAATACGCACGCTCATACCGCAGCGCAGCCAGGGCGCGCATGACGCCCGTGTTCACGGGTCTCGTGCACACAACACAGGGCAGACCGTGCTGCAGGCAGAGCTGTGTCAGGTGCGCTAGCACTAGCCGGCCCAGGCCGCGCCGCCGCTGCGTCCGCCAGCGTGTGCAGGAAGCCGATGCCGCCGTTCCTGTCTACCACAGCCCAGGACATCAGCCGCTCGTTATCAAGTGACGACAATGAAGATGTTGCCGACGACGATGCTGAAGACGATGCTGAAGGCGATGCTGGATGCGATGCAGAGGGCAAAGCTGACGGCAAGACCGGAGGGGAGGTCTGTGACGAGATCGGCGCGACTGCCGAAGCTGATGCTGTTGACGATGGCGGAGGCGATGCCCCGTGGCTGAACGCACCGGCGGAAGGCCCCGTAAAACGCCGTCTCTGATGATGCCGTCGACGGCCCGGGACGTGGTCGGAGTACTCCCAGAAGCGCTTCACTTGGTCCACATGTCCCTCATTGAGCGGGCGGATGACGACACCGGCTGGGCTGTCGGCAGAGGGTGGGCGCAGCGGATGGCATCGTGGTTTCGAGAGCTGTTTTGTGCTGATAACTTAGCTCGTGTTCTACTGATAACCGCACCAAAAGACGGGCGTAAAAACATCACAGCTGCCCTCAAAACGAACACATCACAACAGTAGAAGCGGGTAGAAACGGAAGGGAAAGCAGTGGAGCTAGCTACACGCCCCCAGAGCCAAGGCAGCAGTGTAGGGGTAGTTTGTCTTACTTTTAAGCTCTAGAAAACATGCCTGACGTTTCACCCCATCTACCAGCCATCAGTCGCAATCCGTGCAGAACGAGACTTCTTCATAGCATAATTGCATGCCTTCGTTTATAGTCTGAATAGCTATGACAACATCTTATGCCATCAAAAACAGCGAGCGTGTGAGCTTATTTTGAGGCAAACTTAAGCGTTCTCTACCCAGAACCCACTTCCCGTAGAACTCAGATATGTATGTTGCTCGGCTTCGGTTATTCCTGCTCGTTCAGTCTCCCCAACATAATGCACATATTCGTAAGACTAAAGGTGGACGCATGGAACTTGACATACCATTTGGATAACGGAATACGGACACACGGATGAATAACGGGACCCTTGTCTTACACACAGCGGCGGATCAAGCCAGCTGTCCGGGAGGAAAGGGTAAGCCTGCGTATGCGCATGCCCGGCGGGCCGACCCATGCTTCAGCCAGCCAGCCTCCCGGAATATAATGTGTATTGGAGCATCTGGGAGTCCTGCTTACTGGCTACACTCCCAAACTCTTACATCCTGGTTACTGATTACATCCCATCCCATCCCACGAAGTCCTGGTTACATCCCAAACTCTTCCCTTCGGCCCAGAAATGACACCAAAATCCTGACGCCAGCCACTTCCACTCGCCTCCCCGTGGCCAGATTCCCCGGTGGAAGACCCTAGCCACTCCCACGTGCCCGTTCTGAGTGCGGGAGGCCGCCTGTGTCCCGCTATGACCACACCTGACCTACCATTCAAGCACGTGCTCCGGCGGCTGGCAACTCTCCTGCACGAAGAGGTCAAACGGCGCGAGCCCGTCCCACGTGAGGCCTCGTTCCTCGGCGGCCGTCCTCAGCACGTGGGCCACGTGCAGGGGCACGCCGTCGGCGGTGAAGGGCGTGCCCCAGAGCTGGAGGCCCGGGGCGCGCACGGCCGCGGCCAGGCACCGCAGGCTCGCCGCGTCCTCTCGTGCGAACACGCCCAGCGCGTGATGGCCGTGCCACTGACGCTGGGGGCGGAACAAGGGCTGGCGTTAGCCGCGACGGAACCAGGCGGTGGACTGGGCCACCGCCGACCGAAACGGGGCGGAGGGTGACGGCACTGGACGCCTGAGCAGGAAGAGCGAGCGGCATTGTCGCACGCTAATTGACTACCCTAGGTGTAATCGCCGGGAGATACTGAAGTGACTCGCTGGGATATGCAGATCAGTGCACATATGAGTCCATAGGGGGAATAAGAGAACAAGGCCCCACGTGAAAACCGCCCTTGACGGGAAACGGACCGAACACCGAATGTCGCGAATGGACGTTGGAATCACAACTGCGTGGCTTACCTCGCTCATGCGCAAACCAGAACTAGATCATTAGGTGTTCAAAGTTACAAGGTGCAATCGAATGCCTGCAGGGCCAGGGACCTTGAATGGACAGGTAGAAAAGGTAGAGTTACCGCCATGCTCACCAAAAATTGGCAGCGATATTCAAGCCAGCCGGTCGGGTGCCGTAGTGTAGTGGTAAACGCGTTTGTGTTAACCACTGCGCGTCCTTGGAAACCAGAGTTACAGGGTTCGATTCCCCGCGGTGCCCCCCGCCCCCCCCTTCCTGCCAGGGCGAGAGGCAGGCGACGCCATACAGCCTCAGCAGATGAGTGCGTCGTAAAGCCCCAATGACACACCCACCCACGCACGCACGCACGCACGCACGCACGCACCCACCCACGCACACACACCCACGCACCACACCCACACACACACCCACAACACACACACACACACACACCACACACACACACACACACACACACAACACGCACACGCACACTCACGCACGCACGCACGCACCACACGCACACACGCACACACGCACACACGCACACACGCACGCACTCACGCACGCACGCACACAAGCCAGTGGTCCTCACCTCGACACTATCATGAACTGGTTAAACACTTGCGGAAGTATCCAAGGTGCTAATTATCGGTAAATGATTTGACTACTCCTTCAGCGGCGTGCGTCACTGGCCATGTGGCGCACGTCGTCCAGAGATAGCCACACCCATAGTCCGGTCATTAAGACTCTGTTTATGTTCCATGAGCGAACTTACCGTAATTGTTATGACGACCAGGGGCTGACCAGACTCTTGGCTGGCATAGATGCGGCAGGGACATGTGTTGACGCCGCTCTGTAAGAGCAGGAGCAGACACCGACTCTGAAGGCGAGAAAGTGCGTCACAGTTACTGGATCACCCTTAGCAGGGGCACCACAACTTATGAAACGACTCGTTCCGCTCGAAAGTGGTTGGCATTCGTGTGGTGCTATGTGTACGAGGCGGCAAGCGGACGTATGCCCTGGGACATAGTTCAACTCCCACGGCTTTGTGTTGATGGCCCCCATAACACTTCGTGTACCAATCAGCAACCGGCATCCGGCCAATCAGCCAATTCGTGCTTCGCTGATTGGCGAATCAGTGACCGGCATCAGACAAGCCGCAAACTCAAGCGTTTTAATGACCATGATGACGATTTGGGATTCTAGGGTGCGTCGAACCCGAGGTAATGCTGCGCCCATAACGGCTGTTTACGACTGTGTTACGTTTTTAACTAGCAATGAACAAATACAGCTGAAAACTTGATGCCTCTTCGAAATAGCTCAAGATGTCTAAGGTGCGGACAACATCGACCTGACCTGAACCTCGGCTAATGCAAACAAACATGGACCTGAACCACCGGTTAATACTCACAGACTACCTACCTGCGACAACAATCACTGACAAACCTTTGCACCATGCACTCCATGCTCCTGAAGACGCTCAATCAGGCAGCCAATGTCGGCCACGCTCACTTCTCGCAGAGGCGACTCCACTTCGGCGTCCATCGCGACGCTCGCGCCGTCCCGGCCGCCGACGCCGGCACCAGAAGCCCTCTGACGGACGCCTGTCGCAGCCCTGGTCTGGCGGCGCCTGGCGCAGACCAGACGCCCACCGCAGCACCAACCGGGCCGCCGGCCGGCCTGCCGCCCCCCCCCCCCCCCTTCCCTCAGTGTCTTATTTGATCTGTGTATTAGTGTAGTCACCGTATCACGAGATGTTCCCCCTTAGGGTTGTATGCCCACTGTGTGGGTACCATTGATCCTTATTTGATCCGTTGCATTGGCGCAATCAAATGACAATCACCACGAGATGTTGCCCCATTGCTGAATTGTGTGCTACTGATTCTCATCTAATCCGTATATTGGTGTAATCACGCGACAATGATCAAGAGATTCCCCCTTCCCCTTTTTTCTGCTGGCGACACGTGTGCACGTGTTGTACTGATTATTATCTGATCGGTGCAGTAGTGAAATCATATGGAATCAACACGAGATGTTCCCCCCACCCCCGGACTGCTCTGTAGCACTCCGGGGTGTAGCCCCCGCCCCTTCCCTTGGCTGGCCGGCCGGCTGTGGGTTTTCCCCTCCCTTCCTTGTCCATTGTCTTTGGACGACCGCGGCCGTCTCGTCTGGCCGCGGTGAGGTCGCCGAAGGCACACCGCCCTTGCGGCTACGATCCTGCGCCGCGTTTCGGCGCCGCACGCTCGCCGTGCACCTGGGCGGTGTCAGCGCGTGATGTGTTATCAGTGTGGCTGCAATCCATGCAGCGTTTAACGGGGCCTGAAGCGGCCCCCGCCGACGGCCTGCCCCCCGCCCCTGCTCACCATGGGGAGGGAGGGGAACCCGCGCCCCACCCCATTGGCGGCACGCTGCGCCGTGCCGTGGGGTTGTGAGGATATATTGTATTAGTTTGTAAAAACATTGTGTCCCGTGTACAGGCACCCCAGAGCCTGGAGCGCATCCGTTTTTCTTTTTCCTATTCCCTGTAATCAAACATGTACTTTTGACGAATAACAAATCTGTTCTTATCAGCTTAATATCTGATACGTCCCCTACATGGTGACCAAGACTATTAAACTGATTTTTGAACATGGTGGGGTTACTGGAGCTTGCTCCCGCCCTGCCGCGGGTGGGCCTGGCATTGCACTACAGCCAGGATCGGCCCATTTTATGCTGTCAGCGGTCGTGTCAATAAATCAATATGTTCTAATACATGTATAATCAGTATGCGTTTCAATATGGGTTGGCGCTTATGCTGCATGCGCACCGCTGCTGGCGCACAGCCAACACGCATCACCTCAGATGCCTCGCCCGATGCCAGCTTGCTGCGGTTACATGCAGATGACACGCATCCGCGTAACAAAACCCTGCACAAACACACAATGGCGAGAGCCAACAACAAAATCAATGAGTAAGTACATAACGAAACAAACGAGAAACAGACCCCAAAAAACAAAACCAACACAAAAAGCAACAACAGCCATCAAATTTCAACACCATGGCGACGGGCGAAAGCACATCATTGACATCAGCTCAAAGCCGGCCGATGCCATGTCAGCCAACAGCGCGTGTCCGTCAGGCCTGCAAACATGCAGCGCCAACGCATCACAGGGTTGTACAAGCCAACGCGATACAGACGAAGCGCCTGACAATGACCATGGGCCGCCGGCTGTCCATAACAGTTTTTGCACGCCCCACGGCCAGATGTCTCTGTCGGCGGCGTGACATTCACGCATCGCCTGCCGGTCGGCCCAATGGTCGGCTGTCTGCCCCTGCTCCAGCGCACGAGCACCGCATCCGGAGGGCCGTACGCCCTTGCTGGCCTGGCGCCGTTGCTGGCCCGTTCCACCCTGCGTGGGTGGCCTTCGCTTCCGAAGCGCGGCCGCCCTGTACCCACCGTGACTCGGCACGACGCCGCGCTCAACTTGCAACAGTCGGCAAACAGAAGTCGGCAAACTATAGGTGACATTTACACATCGCGCGACACTCGGACACAGAGAATGTCCACGTTTACCTGCCGAAGGGGATGCAGGTTTCAGAAGAGAAGGTGAGAAGAAGTGAGAAGGTGAGGTGAGAGGAGGCGAGAAGCAGACGTTTTAGTCTGCTTCTCACGGCCAGTCGTGCAGCGCCTGGATTGCGATCCCTGGATCGGGGAGCATCTTTCCTCTAAAATGTGACTGTGGGTCGCATCGGCCTGACAGCGGGGACTAGAGCGCAACAAATCGTACATGTTTGTGCCATTGACTCGGGCACACTCGGAGCAGGCGCCTTTTCGGAAGTACACGGGCCTCTGAAATTGTTTGCCAATCTAATTTCGACGCTAACCGCGTCATTTCTGATGTTTTTGTATTCTCAAGTTGGTTTTTCAAAAAATGGCGGTATCCAAGAAGTTGCATTACATGGGCTCAAAGCAGAATGCTAATATCGAGCTCCTTGACAAATCAAGGGAGGCAAGCAGCGTTCGCTGTTGGAAAATGGGAGCAGGGTTATTATTGGTTATTGGAAATGTGTCTTTTCTGTCGCCGACGAAATTTGGAGAAGCTCAATTGTCATCTGGGGCCAAATCTATCACAGGTCATTGCAATATAACTATAAATACGATAAACCACACACAACATAAACCGATAAAGAGCAATGCGCCATAAGCATCATAAATATTTCCTTTTTCGGAATTTGTATTTGCCCTTAAGTATCACTTGCTGGCCATACTAAAAGTCCCGGTGGTTGTGTCGAAGGTCTTAGTGCATAAGTGGTGGGCGCAGCGGTGAACCGACCAGCTACGTCTAAAACTACAGTGTTTGAAATGAAAGTTCACAGCTTTCCATGATATCCAAAATTGAGACTTCTAGCCTTTTCAATCCACGCCTGGGAGATTTCTACCCCCTAATGCAGAACCACCAACCAGAAATCCAACGCTGGATAACCTGCCTCATGGCCTGGATTACATGAACGGCGGGTCAATGTCCGCATGATGGGCCTTGCCTAGCGAGATTGGTTGATGCAGCGTAGCGTCTCGTGTCCGGGGCTGCTAGGAGGCTTGCTACAATCGGCCGGTACCCCCGCCCGCATGGTCAAGGCCCTCCTCATGCGGCGATCGGCTGGTCAGCGGAGGTCTTTGTTGTTTATTGGAGTTTAGGGGCGCGCCGACTGCGCTGGTCATTTGGCGCCCATAACGAGTTTGGTTTTACCTATCTAATGAGCCGCATAAGTGGTCCCAAAGTTGATGTGTTTGAGAAACAAAAAGATCTGTTGAAATTCCAGAAATGGTGATTTATCTCCTAGCATATCACAGATGGTAAGGGGCAAGTCATGCTGTCCAAAATAGCGTTGGCGTTCTTCCGCGAGGCACGGACAAGAAATAAGAATATGGCGAACGGTGAGGACGGCACCACATCGATGACAGATCGGTTTATCGGCTCCCTCCAACATATAGCCGTGGGTTGCGTATGTGTGCCCGATGCGCAATCTGCAGAGGATCACCTCCTCTCGCCGCATTTTCCGTGAACAAAGAACCACTGACCTAGCTTAGGTTTTATCTCTCTGCGCTTATTACAATCCATCCGATCCCAACAACGCTGCCACTTGTTGCGCAGGAAGGTTTTTATTGCGGGGTAAAAGTCTCTGGCAGGAATAGAGAGTGAACACATGGAGCCAGCGCTGCTCGCCTAGCAGCCGCGTCAGCCAACTCGTTGCCCGCGATGCCGACATGACTAGGAACCTAACATAGCATGATTTTCTTTCCGGCCTCATCCAGATGAGTCAAACGCTTAAAATGTCCTGTATAAGGGGACATGACGGATAAAAAGACTTCACACTCAGAACGCTGCTCAGAGAGTCCGTCAAATGATGATGATGATGATTTGGGGATTTAGGGCGCATCGACTGCTAAAGGTCATGCAGCGCCATAACTATCGATTCATGCAGAGCCGTCAATCAGAGAAGTGCATCAATCAGTCACCCTATAGAGCCTGATGATCGGCCCTAGCATCATGATGAGAAGATTACAGGAAAATCTATAGCGCGAAGGAACTGGAGCACTTTACCAAACCCGACGATGTCGAAGAATCCCCTAAAAAGTCGCGTAGCGTGCGACTCTGGACGTGGCGTCCGAAAAACTGCGCTCCTCGTTGCAGTAAGGTGGCGGCAAGCGACCAGTACGTGATGCACGGTCAGTGGATCAGAGCATCGACCGCAGCATGGTCTGTCGCCAGCCAATAGCAGGTGACGGTGCGTAGCATATGTGTGACCTATGCGTAACCGGCAAAGGGCAACTTCTTCCACCCTATTGTCCCGAAAGCACGACTGCCATAATCCAATGCGGGGTTTCAACCGACTGCAGCTTGTTGGCGCTCAGCGAGTTCCAGTACAACTGCCATCGCTTCTGCATAAACAGCGCGACACTGCGGGGTACATGTCTTGAGCAGGTAGTGGTGTTATAGGAATTCTAGTCCCTGTCGTAGCGCGCTTTGCTGCCGCGTCAGCAAGATCATTTCCGCATATCCCCACGTGACTTGGGATCCAGCATAGAACGACCGTTTTTTGCCTCGATCCAGTGAGCTAAGACGAGACTGAATGTCCTGAACAAGTGGATTCGACGGGGAGAAGCCGCTAACAGCCAGCAGGCTGCTCAGAGTCGGAAAGAATTAAATGCAGATTGCTATCGTCCACTTCAATAAAAAGAGAGCTTTGCTAATGGCTATAAGCTCGGAAGTGTAGACCGACGCGTGTGAAGGCATGTGAATGACCGTGTGGTCGATCCGCACACAAAAGCGCACCCTACACCTGCATCCGTCTTCGAACCATCTTGTATAATCAATCTTGTACCCGTCAAAGGAGGCCATGTGCTCTAACTGCGCCTTTGAGTTCCCGCCATGAGGACATGTTGCTTTGCATATTGATAGAGAGACATCCACTCTTGGCGAGATGCTAGCTCCCAAGGAGCAGTCTCCATGGGTTTAGGTCTGATGACACGCACGTAGGTTCAGGCCGCTCGCATCTAAAAGCCTCTCATTCGTACACAGAAGGGAGAAGTTTTAGGTGACGTGACGTAGGAAAAAAGCCTTC